GAGAGACCACTCCCCATACAGCCTCCTCTATGGATGTGAGCCGTTGCTGCCAGTGGGAGCAACCCGGGTCCTCACAGACACAGTGACGGCAGGCACCATAGACAATTGGGTGGCGCTGTCGGAAGCCAGAGCAAGGTACATGCGGGTGATGATGCCGGCTGCATTAGAGAACCTCCACACTGCACAGCTGAGAGATGCCAGGCGCTATGAACAGAGGCAGCAGCAAGGGGCAGGCAGGAGAGCACAGAAAGGCGTGGGTCTGGGGCAAGAAGTGTACCTAAGGAAGGCAAAGCAAGATACCTTGGACGTTGGGGTGGGAACAGAAAGGTGGCGGGTGAAGGAAGCACGCCCCTCGGGGATACTAGTGCTGGAGAACGAGAAGGGGGCCCAACTGAAGGAACATCATACCAACACGGCCGTGGTGAGGGGCAGTAAGCCTCAGCAGGGTGGTCCTGTGACGCGAGCTCAATCTGCTCGAGCACGGGCACAAGAGGGGGCAGGGAGTGACTGAGGCAGAGCACAACGAGGAAGGAAGCAGGAGGGAGACAAGGGGGAAGGAGAGTAGAGACTGCAAGGAACCAGGTCTCATGGACAGAGATGGTAAGCTGGAGAGCAAGGGAGGAAGGAGGAAGCAAGCAAGAAGAAGAGCAGGTACTGAAGAGGAGTTCTCCGACACCTCCTTGGAGGTCTGAATACTGTTTCTCTGAAATGGACTACATACGGTATCATTCTCCTGTGGGCAGCAGCAATACCGTAATCACCCGGATATAAGAACCACTCCCCCCCCTAGTTGTAGACCTCAGAGCATATACCGTAATATGGACATGGGTCGTATGGCTGTAACCTAAGACCACCCCCCCCCCCCCTCCCCCCCCCTGGTCCTTATGGATAACCATTTTAAGGCATTCAGTTAAATCGAACACACTACAGTACTCATCACAAACGAAAAGGACCACACAGAGCACACAAACAGTCAATATGAGATTGTGATAGCTAGCTAACAGCTTCATATACTCCCCTTAGTTGTCATCCTGCCCTGCCACCCACTGGTCCACCACCTCCCCTTCATATCGGCCTCGGGGCCACCACTCTTCCTCATCTCTCCACCCCTGGGCACCTCCACCCCCGCCCTCTCCTGCACCCTTATCCTCCTGATTCTCCTCGTCCTCCTCCTCCTCATCATCGGCCTCATCCGAATCTGAATCCGTCAACCCGTCCTTCGCCGTCAGCTCTCCCTCGGCCTCATTCTCCTTATCTCCATGAGCCGAGGCGGTTGCGGGGGCAGGATAGAAGAGGTTGGGGACGAGCTCGTCCATCTCCTCAACCTGCACAACCTCCACCATATCCACCTCCGCCTTATCCCGCAGGTGAGCGAGGATCAAATGATCCTCGCTCTGGGTCAAGGCGTTGGAGATGCCGCAGGTGAGCAATGCCTTCCTCACCAGCTCCTCAGGGATGTCAGTCCACGAGTCGGCAATCCAGCGCAGGACCTTCTCGGCAGGGGATTTCTTGAGATTTTCTGTTGGTGGAGGCCATGGGGTATGGGCATAGGTGGGGAAAGCACAGTGAGTCGTGTGTTGCTGGTGGTAAGACAAGCACAATACCAGGGCAAGACAAGGCCTCACGTGTCGGGGTGGTGAAGGAGATCCCCTCCTCCTCGAACCATGTACTGTAACGGTGGCGAAACCCAGCCTTGAAGCTGTGGTTTATCGACACATCTAGTGGTTGCACCAGAGGGGTGCAACCACCAGGGTTGATCGCATGAATGAGCTTGAAGAGGCGCATCGCAAAGTCGAGGAAACGGTAGAGGGGCGGGTGGTAAAACGCAAAGTCGGGAGAGTCCACCGGGAAACCAAGGAAGACATAGGGGATGGCGCGAGCCGAGAGCTTATCCGCGGAGGTGTCGCGGACAAGCGCAAGGCAGCCCCAGACGTGAAACTCCGACGCAACACCAGGGGACCCGGTCCAAAGACTCGTCAGTGAAGCCCCTGGTCGTGAGACACGAGGCCAGAGGTTCAGCTGGTGGGTGGCGTAGCGAACCACGTAGGGCCACATAAAATGGGGCGCACGTGCATGGATCATGGAGGTGCGGGCGATCTCCATGACCAAGCCAATGCAGCGCTCAGCGACCCCATTCTGTTGTGGGGACTCCGGAAGCGTCCAGGACTGTGTGATGCCCTGCTCGCCGCAGAACCCGGCAAGTACGTCGGAGCGGAACTCACCCCCACGGTCGTAGTGGAGACAACTGACACGACTACCACGAGTGCCCTCAGTGGCCAGGAGCCATCGGATCAGCATAGAAGTCACCTCGGACTTCTTCGCGAGAGGAAACACCGTGGTGTACCTGGAGTAGTCGTCAACGACCACGAAGAAGTAGCGCTCCCGCTCGGGTCCAAGACGGGGGGCTGGGCCCCAGACGTCCAAGTGGAGGGTCTGGAAGGGAGCGGTGGCCGGACGAAGGGAGGAGGAGTGAGGAGTGGCGCGCAGCCGACCCTCGACGCAAGGAGTGCACGGCAGCGCAAGCGAGCGAGGGAGCGACTCAAAGACCCGAAGGAGACCTGACACAAGACGATGGCTGGCCATGCTACAGAGGCGTGGGAGGGACGGGTGACCTAGACGGTGGTGCCACAAGACTGTCTGGTGGGAGAGAGACCGACAGGAGCAAGACGCAGCAGCCTGACCGGACACAGCAACCTGCGGGGAGGCCGCTACCTGGGAGTGCTCAGTGTGCAGAACGTTGAGACCGGAGCGGGGCTCCCTGGTGAACGTGACAAGAATGACACCAGTGGCAGCCTCCGTGCAGACCGCAGTCCGCCCGTGCCCCAGAAAGGTAACGGTGATCCCTCTATCATGGAGGTATCCAACACCCACCAAGTTCCGAGTGAACGAGGGGATGTGGAGACCTCTAAGGACACCAGAGGGGACCACAGGGCACGGGAGGGTGGTGGAGCCGCGCGCAACGGCTGATTTCAATGTAGGATAAGTCAGAGCTACCGGAACAGGAGCAAGGAGTAGTGTGAGAGTCGTGTGGTCGCGGAAGAAGCACTGGGATGCGCCAGAGTCCAACGTGAAGGACAGGGACGCCTCAGCCGGAGGTGCAGCTGGTCTGGTAGCTACACAAGCGCCTCGAGCAGCAACACGCGCACCTAGACTAGAGAGGCACAAATCTACGGGTAGAAACAGGCAAGGATCCTAGTCTAGGAGCACGCGAGCATACAGATCCATCAGCACTATAGTCAACATCAGCATACAAAGCATACTGACGAGCCTCATCCATAGACAGATCAGATACAGGAATCTTACGAGCTAGCAGCTGAGCCCAGCGCGGGGTGCGTCCCCCGTGACCGTGACGCGCACAGTAGAGGTCGTCAAGGCGGCGGAAGCACCGCGCTACAGAGTGGTCGTCACGCTCGCAGACACACGGACTGCCCGGTCCCATGAGGATCCAGTAGTCGCAGGGGCCGGAGTCGCGCCCAGGGGGGCGGGGGCCCCAGCTGACAGTGCTGCCGCTGCGGCCAGTGCTGCCCGGGCCTCTAGGTCCCCACTGCTGCGGGGGGCCCCAGTGCTGCTGCGGACCCCACTGCTGCGGGGGCCCCCACTGTGAAACCTGCTGCGGCACCTGCCGCTGCTGCTGTCCCTGATGCTGCTGCTGTCCCTGCTGTGGCTGCTGCTGCTGGGCTCCCGGACCACCGCTCGCGGCAACAACTCCACCTGGCGGGCCCGCCTGTCCAGGACCGCCTCCAGGGTCTGCTCCTCCAGGTGCACCAGTACCGCCTCCGCCGTCACCACTGCCACTCCCAGCTCCACCTCCGCCACCCCCACCGCCACCACCCCCCTTCCCCCCTTTCTTGCCACCCTTGCCCCGTTTCTGCCAACCAACGGTAGAAACAGTTGCAGTCTCCTCAGAGACAGACACCGCAGCAGTGGCACGAGTAGCAGTGAAGGTGGGAAGCTGAGGGACAGCACACCCCTCAAAGAGACAGGGAGCTACTGTGTCATTGGCAGAGGCAACAGAGAGGAGGTTACTTTCAATCTTCGAGAGAGTGCTCTCAAGAAGATCGATCGTAAGCTCACTGGGGTGCTTTTGAAGAAGCACGTCACGGGCAGAGGTGCGGCGGCCACGGAGGCGAGTGATTAACCAGTGCACGGTGAGCCACACAGGAGGGGGGGCAAGGAGGAGCTGGGCCGGAGCACGGAGCAAACTGAGCTAGGAGCGAGGAGCGAAAACAGCTAGGAGTGCCAGGTGAAACTAGGCGAAGGACGGTCGAACCAAGGAAGAAACTGAGCTAGGAGCTAGGAGCTAGGTGCTAGGAGCGAGGAGCTAGGAACTAGGAGCGAACCGTCCCGTAGGTCGTGCTACAGGAGAGAGAAGCGGCTGCCAGCCACTGATGGTGAAACCAATAGTAGCAGGAACGGTGTGGGCAAGGGGAACTTCAGTGCTCACCACAGGACTCGGGAGGAGCTCTCCGGTAGGACCGGTCGCACTTCGGGCTAGCTAAGGAGGGAGGGGCGCGCGCGCGCTGGCTGGGCGGGTGGCGTGCGCTGGCTTGGCAGTAGGAGCAGGGCGCGCGGGCTCCAGCCGCGGGCGCGCGCTACGTGAGGGCGCAGGCGTGGGCTAGGCGCGAGCTAAGCACGTGGGTGGCAGGAGCGGGGCGCGCTGGCGTGGGCTGGGCGCGCGGGTGACAGGAGCGGGGCGCGAGGCACCACCTAGGAGCGGACGGAGCGAGCTAGGCTAGGCGAGGCGAGAGTAGGCTAAGGATCGAACCTACTGATACCATCTCAGAATGTGAATACAACGGAATGCAGAACTAGAAAGGGGATGGGGTACAAATATGCAACCTTAAAGCTGTACCCCCTAGAAGGCACCTCACTACAGCCTATCATAGATATTACATTTTAATAAATTCCTATCCAAAAACCTGACCCCTGTGCTCCTGCTGCCCTGCATCTATAGTTCCGTGCTAAATAGGCCATGCCACATGTAGGCATAATGGGGAAACTCAGCGCCCTTTGGTTGGCTTCAATTGCAGCCAACTCCTGAGGCTATCACCTATCGAGCTAACGCGCATAAATGAGCCCACACCAGAATGTGAGCCATCAGACCCCTCGGGCTCCCTCCCACCATCTCCAAACGACACAGCAGAAACATCCCTGGAAGACACACTCTCGTTGCTTGCACTCTCTTCTCTCGCGACACATTCCCACTCATCCTCCTTGTCGGGGCAGTGCTTTTCAATGAGGGCATTGAGGCGGTATGCCACATCCTTCATGGTGGGCCGCCGTGTGCCGGGAGACTTGATGCAGTCCAGAGCCAGGTCTGCAAAGTCCACTATCGCCTCCTCAGTGACCACTGGCATCTTGCTGTCCCTCAGCTCCTCTAGATTATACGCCTCCACCCTCTTCATTGCCTGGAGGGCATCCACACAAGGAAAGGACGATGCATGGGAGAGGCGGTGAAAAACAGCATGATAAGCAGGAAGGGTGGTGCAAGGCAGCATGACAGCAAGGAAAGGCTATGATACCCAGAATGAGTGGGAATTCAGGACAAACGCACGGCCATGAAAACATTTGAGTAGGAGACAGATTTGAGATATGATGGGCACAAACATTCTCTGATATGCAACATTCATATTTGCGCCAATTGTGAACTTGGATCAAGTACTTGCATACCCATTTGCTTATATGCGTTTTTGCGTCAACTTGGGGTGAATTTCCACTCAGCAACTCAAGAAGCACGATTCCAAAGCTGCAAGCAAGCATGCATTGGAGATAGAGGAAAAATCTTGGAAAAAAAAAAGAGGGAGGTACAGGGTACAAGTATTCAACAAGCAGGAAAAATAGAAAACAAGTGAGGTGCACAAGTTCATGGCTTTGTGCAAAGGAACGAGCATGCATCCGAACCTGAACACATCGCTCTTGGCTGTGATGACGTTGGTGCGGTTGTAGTCCGGGTCCACATAGCCTGGAGTGCCGGCCACTCGCGTGGCGTCAGCATCGCCGTGAGTGAGGCGCTTGAGCAGCCCAAAGTCAGCCACCTTGGCTTGCATGTCGGCAGTCACAAGGATGTTTGCCGGCTTGATGTCGCGGTGAACGATGGTTGTGTCAAACCCATGCAGGTACGCCAGGCCCTCTGCTGCTCCCTGCGCTAGGCGCAACCTCTGGCGCAGAGAGAGCGGACCTGGGTCATGAAACACGTGTATGGAGCAGAACGTGCAGTTATATGAGAGACGGTGTCATGCTCTGTTCAGAATACACATATATATACATAGTGTCATGCCTGGCAACCATTTCGCCAATCGTGCCAGAGCAACTCACGCCAGAGCAACTCACGCTTGGTGGCATGGATATGGTACTGGAGGTCCCTGTTGCCTATGAACTCGTACACCAGGATCTGCTCCTGCTTGCCCGTCTCCACGTTCTGGTCCAGGCAGAAGCCCAGCAGGCGCACGAGATGCATGTGGTGCAGCGACGCCATGGCTCGCACCTGCAACATGGACATGGAACAGAATGCAGGCTGATGCAGAGGGGAATGGAAAGGCGATCACAGAATCTGCAGGTCAGCATTTTGGTCAGCATATTCTCTGCTGTGTGGGCGGAAAGCAGGGAGGGAGTAGAGGGATGCCTGACCTCCGTTTCAAAGTCGTTGGTCATGATGGTGGAGCGCTTTATGGCCCACAGCTGGCCCTGTGGCGAGCGGCCTTTGTACACAACGCCAAAGCCGCCCTTGCCCAGCACATTGTCGTCTGACCAGTTGTTGGTGGCCTTGATCATCTGCTGCAGCGAGAACTGCTCACACACATCCAACCCCTCCCACTTCTCTGTGCACACAGCAGGACACGGGGAGCGAGCGACCAAGAGGAATGAGTGAGTAAGTGTGAAGATGAGTGGAGAGAGCACGAGGGTAGTGGAAAGGCAGAGTTGTAATGCAGGAAAAACGGCCGGGAAATTGAGCAGAAGAGGAGGCCAGGAAACAGGTAGAGCATTAGGGGAGACGGAAGGGAGGTGAAGAAGGGTGGAGGGGCTCACTTGGTCTGCGCGGCCACAGCAGCCATGCGATCACTGCTGCCAGCAGTGTGAAGCCAGCAAAGCAGCCCACCGCGATGCCCACTATGGATCCCGTGGATAGAGAGGGCACTGCCAAGGAAGGGAGGTTTAGGGAAAGTGGTTGGTGATTAGCGGAGCTGTGGCAGCACGTAAAAGAGTGATAAGATTTGGGTAACAGAACCCCCATGGCATGGTTATGGGGGGAACGGGGGGGGGGGACGAGGGGGGAAAGGGGGGGACGAGGGGAGGAAGGGGAGGAGACGAGGGGGGAAATGGGGGGGAAGAGGTGCGGAAAGGGGGGGAACGAAGGGGGGAAAGGGGGGGATGAGGGGGGGAAGGGAGGGGACGAGGGGGGGAAGGGAGGGGGGCGAGGGGAGGAAAGGGGGGGGACGAGTGGGGGAAGGGGGTGGGGAGGACGAAGGGGGGAAGGGAGGGGGACGAGAGGGGGAAAAGGGGGGGAAGCTAAAGAAGTAAAGAGAGAGGGAAGGGAGTGGTAGTGAAGCTAGAGAAGGCAGCAAAGAGGGTTGGGTACACGGTGGAAGGGGAGCAGGGCAGCAACCCAAGCCACTGACCGAACATACCGGGTGGGGACGGGGGTGGCAGCTGGCAAGTGGTGGTGTTGGCAGTGCCGGCAGCAGAGACAGCAACGTAACCACTGGCACAGGAGCACGAGAGGGACGGCGGCCAACCGCTCTCCACCACACACTGCCCCGCGCCCACACCCCCACATGGGCCCTGCCCTGACTCTATCCCACACACTGCCGCACACTCTGCCGCCCCCCGCTGCTGCCCCACCCCTTCACTCCCCAGACAGTTCCCATCCACAGCCAGCCATGCCACTGCGCTGCTATTCCCCCCGCCCTCCCCTCCTGCTCCAGTTCCCCCCTGCTGCTCCCCCTGCCATACCCACACCCACTGAGGGCTCGATGCATCCTGGACTGCCCAGGGGGGGAGGGACTGGGGTTGGGGGGTCGCTGGGAGGACGAGAGAGGGGTGGGGTGGGGTTGGGGAGGAGGAGGAGAGGGTGATGTTGGGGGAGGGGGAGAAGGAGCCGTAGAGGTAGTTTCCGCTGAGGTCCAGGCTGATGGGTGGCATGTTTTGGAAGGATGCGGCGTCCATGTAGAGGAGATTATTGCTGACGTCACTGGGAGACAGGCGCAGAGTAAGGGGAAGCAGGGGTCAAGGGCGAGGGGAGAGGTGAGGAGCAGAGATGGCCTGGAAGGTAAGGAAGCGGAATTTGCAGCACGATTGGAGGTCGAAGGTTACAAATGAGAGTGCGACAAGAGGCGAGCATCCTCTTGTAGGTGAATCGTGAAGGGCGAAGGGCGAAGGGGGAACGGACATGAGTTGGACGGAGGAGACGAAAGGCAGGCACTGAGGGAGGGCCCCCGAAAAGGCGTTGCTGCCTAGGAGCCTGCAGGTGGACGGGCAGGCATGTGGAAAGGGGGGCAGGTGGAAGGGGGGGCAGGTGGAAGGGGGAACAGGTGGATGCCCTCTACATGGATGCCCTCTACATGGATGCCCACATTCATACCTGCCTGCTTGCCACTGGGCCTGAGGTGGGCCTGAGGGTAACATAACCTAAATGCTACACTGTGTGAATGCTAAGTCATCTGCGCATTACACTATCCAAACATTGCATGGTGAGCGCGTTGCATAGTGTGGATGGTGCACCGACCGAGTGAACGTTACAGCATGTGGACGTTACAGCATGTGGACGTTACAGCACGTGGGCTGCTGAATTACCTGAGCGTGTTGTTGCGTAGCGTGAATGGTACAGTGGATGGTACAGCATGTGGATGGTACAGCATGTGGATGGTACAGCATGTGGATGTTACATGATCTGCAGCACGGATTGGCAGAGGTACTCGGGGATGGGGCCTGACAGCTGGTTGTGATGCACCGCCCTGCACACATGGCGGGGTGGGACGCAGGAGGGGAGAGGGGAGGGGGGGACGGGAGGCAGAAGGAGGGGGGGGAACGGGAAGAAGGGATGGGCGGACAGGAAGCAGGAGGGGAATGGGGGCTGGGCGGGCAGGAAAGCAAGAGGGTGCATGGGAGATGCACGAGAAGCAGGGGGGAGGAATGGGGGGCGGGTGGGCGAGAAGCAAGAAGAGGCATGCGCGATGGCGGGGCAGGGGACGCAAGCCAAACAAGAAAAGCACGACTCAAAGACAGAACGAGCAGGGAAGCTGGGGTGACGAGAGTAAGAGCAACGGCATGTGGTGTGGTGGCACTCACAGCATGGGCGGGCACTCACAGCAGGGCCAGGCGCTTGAGATTGATATGGGGGATCTGCAGCGACCCTGAGAGCGTGTTGAATGAGAGATCGCTGCGGAGGAAAATGGGAGCGTGCTGAACGCGTGCTGAGCAAGTCGAGGGAGAGAGACACACGAGGGTGGGCGGAACTGGGAGAAGAAAAAGCGATGGGTGAGAGAACATGCACCAGGAAAGGGAGGGTGCAGGAGGGAAAGGGGAGGGTGAGGGAAGGGGATGGGAGTTTATACTCGCAAAATTCAAATGGAATAATTACCAGGGATCTCGTAGTTACCAGGGATCTCGTGGTTACCAGGTTTTTTGTGGTTACCAGGGCTCTTGTGGTTACCAAGGCCCTCATCGTTACTTGGGCATACACACATGATGAGAGCTGGACTGGCAGCAGCGTTGGGCAGAGGGCCTGAGAGGCGGTTGCGAGACACATTGCTGGGATGGTGAGTTGTGTGGCAGGGGGCAGGGGCAGAGAGGGCAGAGGGGCGGAGGTGAGACTACACAAGGACTGATGGTGAGGATGAATGAATCCAAGATGAATGGCTGGTTGCTAGAAGCTGCTGCTCTGATGCCGGAAATAACTGATGGGTGGTAGTATAGATAGGGAAGCTGACTGACAGGTGGGAGAGGTTTCGCAGGTTGAAGATGGAGGGAGGCAGCGAACCGGAGAACAGGTTGATGGCCATGTCCCTGCCATGGCATGGCATGGCATGGCGAGGTATGGGAAAGGGTAAGGGGTGGGCGTGTGATGGCCTTGTTGTGGTCACGTGATGCACATGCACAATAATGGCATGGGCGAGGGCAGCGGAATGGATGTCCATGTGTCTCTGCCGCGGGTTTTGGGTGGGTGGCTCATGCTGACATCAGATGCCATGACATGGCGTGCTGCTGAAGTTAGATCTCATGATATGGCATGCTGCTGACATGTCAAGACATGCCATACAGGTGGGTCATGCCATACAGGTGGGTCATGCCATACAGGTGGGTCATGCCTTACAGGTGGGACAGGTTGGGCATGCGACCAAAGAAGGGCGGAACAGAGCTGTTCAATGCGTTGGCTGAGATGTCACTGTGAAGCATGGGGGGATGGGGGAGAATGGCAGGGCGTGGAGGTATGGCAGGGCATGGGGGGTGAACGAGAGGAGGGGAGATGAAGCGATGGGAGGCGAGGGGATACGAGAATGCAGAGGGTAGGAATGGGAAACACCCATATTCAGCATGGGGAAATCAATGGTGTGGTAAGCTGGTTCCTGGTGCCCCCCACTGCACCGTGCCCCCATGCCTCATGCCCCATGCATCATGCTCCATGCCCAATGGCCCACGCTCCATGCGCCATGCCCCATGCCACAAGCCCCACACCCCTGCCCACACGAGGGCCTCACACAATCTCGAGGGAGGTCAGAGGAGAGAGGGCCGGTGTGATGTCTCCTGACAGCTGATTGGACGACACGTTGCTGGGAGGGGGCATGGATGAGTATGGTATGGGGTACAGAGAATGAAGCTTAGGGTGTGGGCTACGGGGTATAGATTATCAGATTATTAGGGGGTGGGGGCACGCCAGTGCAATGAATCGAGTAAAATTGCATGGCATGACATGGCATGACGTGAAGCAGCGGTGGCGAGCAAGGGAGAGGAGGGCGCACAGATAGGTGAGGAAGGAGAGGCGCGAGAGAGCCCGGGGAATGGAGCCCAGCAGCAGGTTGTGTGCCAGGTTGCTGGTCGGCAGGGTTGATAAACGGTGGGAAAGGATGGAAAGGGGTAAGCAGGGGTGAGTAGGGGTGGGTAAGAGCAGGAGTTGTCCATATCAAGAGAGCTTGGGGAATGGAGCCCTGCAGCAGGCTGTGTGGCAGGTTGCTGGTCAAAAGGGGGACGCAGTGGAGAGGGGTAGACATGGGTGGGTGGGGGTGGCCCGGGTGGGTAGGAGCAGGAGTTGTCAGTATTAAGATGTGACAGCGACGTACCATGTTACCTGACGTGCAATGTCACACGCACACATACCACCACACATGCTCGCACAGATGTCGTCATCTCACATGCTGACTTGGCACCTCACATGCTACCGAGGCCATAGGGGTTGCTGATAGCGGGTGGCACAGTGCCAGTGAACTGGTTGGAAGAGAGGTCGCTGCAGGTGGGAAGGGGCGGCCACAGGGAAAGGGAAAGGGGTGGAATGCGGTGGTGGGGAGTGGAATGTGGGCAGGGAGAGGTGCGGAGGTGAGGAGGGGAGTGAGGGCTGGGAGAGGGGTGCACGCGAGGAGAGAGGCAATTGTGGGAAAGAGGAGTGGCAAGGAGTGTGAAAATGAATAGTGGACAGCAGAGCGAGGGCACACAGAAAATCATGCGCACATAGCAAAGCAAGGGCATACAGCAGAGTGAGTGAGTTGAGTTGCGAAATGAAGGCTGGAATGGACCCTGTGAGGAGGTTGCCTGACATATCCCTGTGTGTGAGGGGAGGGGGGGTGCACAGGGACACGGTGGGGAGGAGACAAGGAGAGTATGGGCGGTGATAGGCGAAGCTATACCATACAGAGGGGCTTGGGGCTGTGATAGGCGAGACAGAGAGGGGATGGGGGTGGGAGGGGAGGGGGTTTAGGAAAGGATGGGTGTGAGGCACGAGAGTGAGGGAGAACAGAGAGGGATATGCATAGCGTATAGAGATGTGGTAAGGTGAGGGTGGAGAGGAAGGGGTCAAGCACTACTTTGCACGCACGCCATGTTTGGAAATACTCAAGAAGCGCTCAGACAAGTGGGACGGGCAGGCAGGGCAGCGCACAGCTGGCGGAGGTAGGTGAGGGTGGAGAGGGAGGGGTCGAGCGCTCCTGAGAATTTGTTGTGCGAGAAATTGCTGGAGGATGGAGGAGGGGAGCAGTGCAGAGGGGATGAAAGGGGAAGAGGTAGGGCGGGATGGTGATGATGGGTGCGCGTGGTTAGGGAGACAGGGTGGGGAATGGACAATGATGGATGGATGGACATGCATGGGTGAGTGTTCGACATACTGGTTGCACTGGAGTGAGGGAATGAGGGTGTCGAGCGGATGGGAAGGAATGGTGGTTGGTGCGATGGTGGAAGGAGTGAGTGTGCAGACTGGGTTGTTACAGTCAGTGGCTGATGATTGTGAGTTGCTGTGGGTCACTGCTCACGCATTCACGATCAGTGTGCTGCTCACGCATTCATGATCAGTGTGCTGTACACGCATTCACGATCAGTGTGCTGTACACGCGCTCACCACCAAGCTGCTGAACTATCTCACATACATGGTGTCAGCAGTATTAGGGCCCTCATTTGGCCTGGAAAAGAACGCTCTGCCCGATAAATTGTTGTGGGAGATGTCGCTGGGAAGGGAAACCAAGGCAGGAGAGGGGCCACATTTCAGGCGCTTCAGATAGAGCAGAAAAATGGTTTGGGAGAGGGAAACAAGGGGGGAGTGCGAGATGGGGGAGGTGGGGGGTGCGAAAACAAGGTGAGGGGGTGGGGGACCTGGCTTTGCTGTGCTCTTACAAATTTATTCGAAGACGAAGGTCGAGAGGAAGGAAGGGCGACTTGATGCTTGTGGATTTTTAGTCGACTCAAAAGTCGAGTTTCAGTCGACTCAAAAGTCGAGTTTTAGTCGACTCAAAAGTCCAGTTTTAGTCGACTCAAAGTCGATTTTTTAGTCGACTAAAAGTCGACTTATCACAAGGGGGAAGGGCGACTTGTTGCATGTGGTTTCTGAGAGGTCTTAAGACCGCATGAAACAAGGGGGATGGGCGACGCACAGGATGAAGAAGGAGAGGGGGGGGGGGCTACTCACAGGATGAAGAAGTTGACGATGAAGTCAAAGGGGATTTCCCCCGAGAGGCGGTTGAAGGACGCGTTGCTGCCAGACAGGGTGCACAGGGGTGCACACGGGAACAAAGGGGTGCATAGGGGCACACAGGGGTGCACAGGGGAACAAAGGGGTGCATAGGGGCACACAGGGGTGCACAGGGGCACACAGGGGGAGCACAGGGAGGCACAGAGTGCACAGCAGCCCACAGTGACGGGAATTGGTAGGCAGGGAAAGGAGGATAGAGATAAGGTTGGAAAGGAAAGCAATTGGATGGAAGGAAAAGAAGCGAAGGGCTTCAAAGCAGAGGGGTCAGAAGGAGAGGGGTCGGAAGCAGAGGGGTCGGAAGCAGAGGGGCCAGAAGCGGAGGGGACTCACAATATTGGGCTGCCAAAATCTACTTTGAACTTGAGAGCAGAGGGCAGAGGCCCTGTGAGCTCGTTCACTGACACGTCACTGGCACACCGTGGTTGGTGCGAGGGGTGGGTGGGTGTGGGAGGAAGGAGGAGATGAGTTTTTAGTCGACTCAAAACATGCGAGGCCGTTCAGTGACATGTCACTGGTAGGACGAGATGAGGACGGGAGGGGCGGCAGAGGTGGATGGAAGGGAGAAGACGACGAGGCGAGGACGGAGCCGAAGAAGAGAGATAGAGAAGTTGGTGTATTGAGTAGGCGTGAGAGCTATTGGCTTGGCCGAAATGGATGTGAGGAGCAAGATGTATGGATGCTTGCTGGAGAGAGGAGGCAGGGCATGCGGCATGGTGAATTGCGCATGGAGCACGGTGCATGTCGTATGGCACATGCCGCATGGTGCATGGAGCATGGGACATGATGTCGACGCATGACAGATGATGTCGACGCATGACACATGATGTCGACGCATGACAGATGATGTCGACGCATGGCACATGGTATTGTAGTAAGAGGCATACAAGGAGGAGAAGACGTTGCTGGCAAAGGTAGACGGTATGGAGCTGTTGAAGCGGTTGCAACACATGTAGCTGCACGTGGCAATGGGCAACGGGAGCACTTCTGAGGCGCCTCAAAAGCCGAATGTGGATGGATGGTATGGAAGACAGTGAGGCGGTTGCAGCTTAGGAAGCTTCCAGTGGCAATGGGGAGAAAGGAGAGATAGAGAGTGGGAAAGGCGTTTTGGTGAAGACAGAAGAAGTGTCTGTTGTTCTGTTCTGACAGGGCACAGAGGCCGAGAGAAGTGTTGACAAGGCATGGAGGACGAGATAAGTGCTCACATGCTGGTGAGGGAGGAGAGAGCAGCGAGGGGCCCCAGCGACCCCGAAAACAAGTTGTTGTTCAGCAGACTGCCGTGTGTGGGGGGGGGGGAACATGGATGGTGCATGGGGTAGTGAAACATGGGTTTGTGGGGCAGGGGGGTTTGTGGGGAGTAGCAAGGAGGTGAAGGTTACGGTGGAAAAGGGGTTTGCTGTGACATTGGTCCGTGGCAGATGTGGCGGGTGGTATGATGGAGGTGCTCATGATGGCAGGATGATGGCAGTTAACGGCGGTGCTCATGGAATGGCATGGCATGGCGCGGCATGGAGTTGAGACTTAAATGGAACTGTGACTCACATGGAGCTGAGACACGGCATGGCATAGCAAGGCATGGGTCGCATGGCATGGGATGGCATGGCATGACACGGCATGGGATGCCATGGTATGGCAAGGTATGGCATGGCATGGGATGGCATGGCATGGCATGGCAGGGCATGTAGGTGCTAAGTGGGTATATACGCGTATAGCGTATATACGCGTATCGTATATACGCTATCGTATATACGCTATACGCATAGGTCCCGAAACCCTAGATACGCTATTCGGGCAGGTTTAAAAAAGGTTAGGGCAGCTAAAGTAAGACCCCCCTGATATACTTATGCGGTCAGTTTCCACAGGGGTTGGATTTCCCGGATTTTTTTTCCCGACCCAAAATTATTCACCAACAACATTACAATGACACATACTCATCTCATACTACTAGCACACATACTACAACTCACGCTACTCCAGATCAATTACGCCACCTACTCATACTCATCCTCCAGAATGACGTCGTCCCCCTCCTCCTCCTCCTCCTCGTCCCCCTCCACCACATTGTAGCCCTCGGGCATGGGAGGCTCCGGCATGTTCCCGAGCACCACACCCGGCATGACATCTGCACGGGAATGCCAATTGCGCACAACATTCCAGTTGTGCGCAACAAAAACCAAATCCCGGCACTTGGCAGAGCCAAGCCGGTTCCGGCGGGCCGTGTGCACCCCATCCCACGTTGACCATCCCCTCTCACATGGTGAAGCCGACACGGCCTGAGAGAGAGTCCTGATGGCGAGGGCCGCCAGCTTTGGTGCGTCAGTGCCGTGCCACTGCCACCACTTTACCATGTCATACTTGCCCTCCTTGACCAAGCTCCTCTGAGCAATTGCATCCCCCATCCCGAAGCTTCCCTTCATATCCAAAAATGCCCTCACCCCCTCCTGCAGTTCCAGCAAAACCTCGCCAAAGTCATCCCCATCATCCCCCTCCTTATCGTGATTGCAGAGGTGCTCGGCGTGCTGAGTGATGAACGCTTTGAATACCTTTGTGCACTCCGCGTCTGAGCCGAAGATGTCTTCATCCTGGTTCGCCGGGTTGAGAATCCGGCCCGCAACGTGCATGGGGCAGGCGAGGCTGCCATCCCACCTGTTCTTCAGCAGGCGGCGGATGTGCACTTTGTCGGAGTAGGAGAGCTGCTCCTCATCCTCCTCCACCACTGTCCCCACATCCTCGGTCAACTGCAACATTGTGTCATACATACGGCCCATCATCCCCTTGGCATCCGCATCGGTCTTACGCATTGCGAAGAACGGGAGCTTCATCAGCTTGCAGAAAAACTCCGCCGTTTTCCACCACGCGTCATCAAGAACTTGCGCTGCAAACTTCTCCGCAGGCTTCTTCCTCTCCCCAACTGCCCAGCCCTTCCACACATCAGACACAACCATCTGTGCAAGCGACTGCCGCAGCTCACAGAGACGGGACACAACAATGTATTGTGTCCCGAATCTTGTTCCAGCCGGTTTCAGCGCCTGCAGCATCCTTGCACCCACCATTTCCGGGTTCCGCAAGTATCCCCTCGTCCAGTGGTGGTTGCGGACGAAGGAGCTGATATCGCCCGCAGGGTCCACCACGTTCTTGGCCCACGGCATCTTGCCGACGTCCTCCATGAAGAGGTCCAACACGTGGGTGGCGCAAGGCACGTGTTGAATGTGCGGCCATTCCGCGATCAACTGGTTGCACGCCACCGCGTAGTTGGACCCACCGTCCGTGCAGAACGCCACCACGTTCTCCGGACCGACCTCCTCCACCACGGGCCTGAGGATGCTGGCGACATAACCGCCAGTTTTGGTCTCCATGCGGCAGTCCACGCTGTCCTTGAACACCGCGCCACTGTCGTTGACGAGAAACACGTTCGCCTGGGGGCGACCGTTCTTATCGGTCATCATATCAGAAGCAACTGTCACGCCGGTCCGCTTCCAGCTCGCCTTCACTCCAGAAAGCCCCCTGTTGATGTTGTCGCAGCACATTCGCAAGCCCGCCCCGCCGATGAACCGCCTGTTTGGTGGGACGTATCCTGTGCCGGCGTCTCTAATGGCACGAACGGCGTTGATGAAGAGAGGGTGCTCCGCAACGCGCTCCGGGATGCGACACCCTGCGAACATGAGCGCCAACGCCTCATGTGCATCGCGCTTCCCAGCTTCCGCACCCGTCTCCAAGTAGTCAGTAATGCGGCTCCTCTTGCCGCTGCTGGTGACCGACGCGATGGCATCCGATGTCGCCTGGCGGCGCTGAGCCGCCGCTGCAGCCTTAGCCTCGTACTTCTTCCGCATGGCAACCCGCGCTTCAGTGGGGGCTTCCTTGCATAGCGCCACTTCGCGGCGCTTCATCTTCCTCCAACTCGCCAAGTGTTGCGCGCAGCGGATGGCGGCACCAGAAAAAACATTGCAGCAGTACCTGCACTCGTACTGCTGCGATTTCCCCTCGTCCACCTTTATGAGGCGGAAATGCTTGAACACATCGTGGTCGACATCCGGAAGGTAAACTCGAGCCGCACAATCAGGACTGGCCGTGCCGGTATCAGGAGGGGGAGTGGACTGGGCCGGGTTAACAACTGCAGAAGCCATGCTAAAAATCTCTGTGAAGTAAACAGGAGGATGAATTGACGAGATAAAACAATACCTGCTTGTTAAGTAGCGTGGGATGGATTGGTGAAGAGAAGTTGGATTGGAGGGAGTTTGTAGATCGAGAGCGGTACAAATTGGTGGAACTCCAATGTGAAATGTCAAGGACATCGCGACTCCAAACATTGGAGCCACGTAACCCAACTCACAGTCGCGGCGCCGCAATTTGAAAGCACGGAAACCAACTCACCTACACACATTGAAAAGTCCAGGCCAGGGTAGATCTCGAGCGTGCATTTCGAGCACGGCATCTTCTTCGTCGTGAGAAGACGAAACTTTTTAGATGTAGTAAAAAAAAATCGATTTTGGGCTGCCCCAAAAAAAAACCCCGAGCGTATTGCGTATTCGTTAGCGTATAGCGTTTTGCGTGTATACGCAAGCGGATAAACGCTATACGCTTCAAGGCAAAAGCGTATATACCCACTTAGTGTAGGTGAGACTGACATGGAGCTAAGGCTGGCCATGCTGGACAAGGACTTGGGGATGGTCCCTGACAGGCGGTTGTATGACAAGGCTCTGCATGCACACGAGTCATTTGGCATGCACACGAGTCATTTGGCATGCACACGAGTCATTTGGCATGCACACGAGTCATTTGGCATGCACACGAGTCATTTGGCATGCACACGAGTCATTTGGCATGCACACGAGTCATTTGGCATGCATACAAGTCATTTGGCATGCACACGAGTCATTTGGCATGCACACGAGTCATTTGGCATGCACACGAGTCATTTGGCATGCACACGAGTCATTTGGCATGCACACGAGTCATTTGGCATGCACACGAGTCATTTGGCATGCACACGAGTCATTTGGCATGCACACGAGTCATTTGGCATGCACACGAGTCATTTGGCATGCACACGAGTCATTTGGCATGCACACGAGTCATTTGGCATGCACACGAGTCATTTGGCATGCACACGAGTCATTTGGCATGCACACGAGTCATTTGGCATGCACACGAGTCATTTGGCATGCACACGAGACATTTGGCATGCACACGAGTCATTTGGCATGCACACGAGTCATTTGGCATGCACACGAGTCATTTGGCATGCACACGAGTCATTTGGCATGCACACGAGTCATTTGGCATGCACACGAGTCATTTGGCATGCACACGAGTCATTTGGCATGCACACGAGTCATTTGGCATGCACACGAGTCATTTGGCATGCACACAAGTCATTTGGCATGCACACGCACACGGGGGTGAGTGATAGTGACTGGGATACGATACAATGATTGAGGGGAGGCGGTTGAAGGATGAAAGCTGAGAAAACACATGCAGATCACAGCGTTGAAAGGCATTCACAGGCTGCAGAGCTGATAAGCGCTGTACCGGCGCCGCCCATGGTCACTCACATGCTCACATGCTCACTCACATGCTCATGGTCACTCACATGCTCACATGGTCGCTCAGATATGCCAATTCGTGACGGGCGGCTCACAAGTTGTAGAGGTTGGTGAGGCGCCCCATGCTGCTGGGCAGTGACCCTGTCAATGCATTCTCCATCAAGACCCTGCAGAGGGGGGGGAAGAGCAGAGAGAGGACGGAGCGGAGGGAGCGGAGGGAGCGGAGGGAGAGGAGAGGAGGGAACGGAAGGAGAGGAGGGAGAGGAGGGGGCGGAGGGAGAGGAGGGAGCGGAGGGAGAGGAGGGAGCGGAGGGAGCGGAGGGAGAGGAGGGAGAAGAGGGAGAGGAGGGAGAGGAGGGGGCGGAGGGAGAGGAGGGAGGAGGGAGAGGAGGGAGAGGATGTTTGGAGGGGGTGCGGATGGGGCGAGGGCGGAAAACAGAGGGATGACATGGGTGCTTGGAGAAAACGGAAGAGAGGGAGGGCGAGGTATAGACGTGGATGCTTGGTAGCGCACATACATGCCGGGCGGCACACGCACATGCCAGGTGGCGCACATACATGCGGGGCGGCGCACACATACAGCTCGTTGAGAGAGACCATGTTGCCAATGGAATCAGGAAGGCTTCCAGCGAAGTTGTTCCTGTCCATGTACCTGGTGGTGGTAGGGGCGGCATGGCATGGCACGTCTTGGCATGGCATGGCATGTCATGGCATGGCACGGCATGGCATGGCACGGCATGGCATGGCATGGCATGGCACGGCACGGCATGGCATGGCATGGCATGGCATGGCATGGCATGGGATGGCATGGCATGGCACGCCATGGGATGGGATGGCACGGCATGGCATGACATGGCATGGCACGGAATCGGATGGCATGGCATGGCATGGCAGGGCACGGCACGGGATGGCAGAGCATAGGAGCTGGTAGAGCCAACTGGCGACCGCCAGGAACGGCCTAACGAACTGCCTGACTGCGAGGGGCAAAAATGTGCCTGACAGGGAAGACTTGTTAACTGACAGAGAGAAATTGTTGACTGATAGGCAGGAATTGTTGACTGACAGGTAGAAAATGTTGAATGACAGACAGGAATTGTTAACTGACAGGTGGGAAGCGTTAACTGACAGGACGGAGAGCTTGGTGAGTCTGCTGAAGAAGGTGGGGAAAGGGCCTGATAAGGAGTTGTTGGAGAAGTCCCTGCCATGCACGCATGCCACACACTCGTGCGCACACACGTGCATCCACACACACACACACATTTATCCACACACTCGCACACATGCGTGCAAACATGCATACACACTCACAAAATGTACGCACACACTCTCACACATACACTCACACATGCACAGGCACACACGCACATGCCAGAGAGGCAACGTTGACTGACAGAGGGACGGAGTTAACTGATAGCTGAACAAAGCTAATCAACAGGGGGCGAACTCAAGTAGCACAGGGAACAACGTTAACAGAGAGGGGCGAAGCGAACTGACAGATATGTGAGATTGACGAGGTTGCCGATATCAGAGGGGATGGAGCCACGCAGGTAGTTGTCTCGCAGAGACCTGCGAATGGCTCACAGCGTTGGTCGCATGCATCAGCGTTGGTCGCATGCATCAGCGTTGGTCGCATGCATCATGCATGGCATGGCACGGCATGGCGTGTCATGGTAGGAGACGCATGTATTGCATGGTATCAGTTTCTTAGTTGGGATGCGTTGAAATAATGGCGCATGATTCAACGCAGCAGGCCTGTCCCAACCAACACAGGCATTCAAGTCAAGGTGCTTCAAGCGCGGACCCTCACCGGTATTAAAGGTGCTTCAAGCGTGGACCCTCACAGGTATTCAAGGTGCATCAGCTGGAAAATCTCTGAAGGCAGCTCCCCTTGTATTGCCTTGTTGCGCCAATTGCTGCGCGCGCAACAGCCATGAGTCAAGGCAAGAAAGTGACACTCGCAAGCATATCTCGTACTCCTGCTACCCTAACCTGGGCATCAGCACCAGCGACGGCATGATTCGCAGCAGCAACAGCAGCACTGACATTTGAGTGACATAGCCACTGTCGCTGCAGGTGAGGCCGAGATTGACGCAGGTGGTGACGTCAGTCAGGTCGTACGGAAGGTAATCCAGACTCGTTGCCAGATATAATAGAGTTTGTGCTGCCAAGCATCAGATGGGGAACGTTACCGGCGTTAGGCCCAGAGTGCATGAGAGTGAACTTATGTTGGTTGGCAGAATTGAGCTGAGAGTGCGCTAGACCATTGCGAGAAATACTGAGAAACGAAGCAACATTGCGTGAAAACAATGAAGTATCGAAGCGATATATTGATGAGAATAGAAAATGATATAGTGTTAGATACTGAGAAAAGAAGCCGACACCGCGCCGCGAAGGAAAGCCGACATTGATTGCGTGAAGGAAAGCCGACATGCGTCATAGCGAGCTTTACCCTCCGTGTAATCCAGCGGCAAGCACTGCTGCAGGCTCGTGTCCTGACCCACGCACGGCACGGCGTTACCCGCCAGTAGCAGCAGCTGCAGCACAGCCGCTAACGCCAATGCGCTCCCCTTGGAAGCCGCCAT